AGTGTGCAGTTTGTCTAAAACAGTCACTGAAGAAAGGACCCTGGAAAGATAAGTAAGCAGATTCAACTGACTTTGAAGCAAGCATCTTAGAGATCATCAAGTTCAACTCCCTCCTGCCAATTACGAAAGTGACCTTTAAGCATCTTGGCTAAGGTCGCAGAGCTAAGAAACAGAACTAGAATCAAGATGCCTGATTCTTGGTTCAGTGGTCTTCCTATCAGTCGATGGTCACTTTGCTGCTGACTTTGTAAGCTACTGAGCTGCTCCTGCAAGAGAAAAGGCCAGAACATGGGTAGTACAGCTGCCCTAAATGCCTACAACTACATAAGATGATGAGGGACTAGCCCTAGGCTTCCCAACCGGATTGGAAGTTTCCTGATGACAGGAATCACATCTTACGCACCTCTCATATCTTCACAATGCCCTCGACAAGACCGGGCACAAAGACGATCCTTAGTAAATGCCTGTTAAATTCAAATCGAAGAATAACATCTAAGGATAAAATTTAATTGTGAGACCAAGCCATAACTGAGACTTGCTGTTTAATCATCAGGAGTCATATCTGAATACAAATGCACAGACAGGCTCTTGGTCAAATGCCACTCCTCCCTGCAATTCCCAGTGCTGCAGTCGCCATCCCTTCCACACCCCCTGTGGTGTGTCTCTCTTTGGCTTTTCCTGAGGGAAATACGAGTTTCCTCTCTCCCTTTCCCTGTGCGGATGGTGGCTGCGTTAGTTTCATTCCTATTAAGTGTAGTTGACAGCAGACTACTTGATACAGGCACACACACAAATAAAATAAACATACATTTCCTGCAGTAATTATTGTGTCCAGAAGCTTACACTACATTAGAAGGGTCCTCTTTTCCTTACATAAGCATTGGGATCAGAAGCACGTTAGCCCTTTTGACTTTAAATACCACAATACGTTCAGGAATCAGGAGAAGAATTAGGAAAGGAGGAACTAATCATACCGAACTTCCGTTCCTTGTGGATGATGACAGTAACTACAGGAAAAATAATAAACGTCTCGAGAAGAGCCTTTTTATAGCGACTCACACAGAGTTCTAAGATGAGTATATGTAGAGGATTAGAAGAATGTAATATCTGTTTATGATTAATGCCTATTTCTCCATGGGATACAAAGTTTAAAAAATAAAACTACCACATTCAGCCCTGGGAACTAAGCGAAGCCTGATGAGCTCTTTTTTAACCCATGATGTCAGGTTTCTTTGCTTGCTCAATATATACACAATCAACTTCTTCTGAATAGAAATAAATCCAAGGTGAAACAGCAGACTTTTTCTCATATTCATAGTCAGGAAAACAAACACATACCACGAGAAATCTACTCGTGCTCTTCCTTACCCAGTGCCTGTGGTTGGCACAAGGGCCAATGCTGCTTCTGGGATGGTTATTTTGTTTTGGGCACCCTCACCCCCAAACTGGTGGAAATATACTTTTCTTGCATTTTGGCATAGTCTACTTTTCAGAACAAAAGCTATATCTATCTAAGAATATTCAAATACCAGTGGGATCTGATGGAAACTGGTGGAAATATACTTTTCTTGCATTTTGGCATAGTCTACTTTTCAGAACAAAAGCTATATCTAAGAATATTCAAATACCAGTGGGATCTGATGGAAAGAGGAGGAAGAGGTCAGAAATGAGAAATTCTAAAGCTGCACTTTAAAGTATCGGGAAGAGGGGCTGGCCTGTGGCTCACGTGGGAGAGTGCGGTGCTGATGACACCAAGGCCGCGGGTTCGGATCCCTATATAGGGATGGCCGGTTAGCTCTCATGGGGGAGCGTGGTGCTGACAACACCAAGTCAAGGGTTAAGATCCCCTTGCCGGTCATCTTTTAAAAAAAAATAAATAAACGAATAAAAAATAAAATAAAATGTCAGGAAGATTACATAAAAAATAGTAATAGCTTCCATTTAGCTAGGGTGACATACTATATTGGTAAAGAGAAATATTCATTCAGACAAATAAAAAAATCACAAGCCTTCTTAACTGATCACAATGTATGATAAAGTATATTTTCTTTAAAAAGAAAAATCAAAACAGAACCAGAAACAAACCTGTCCTGTGTAACTGGGAAGTAAAGCAGATAATCGACTCCATTTATTTTTATTCTTCCACTTCCACGTTCATAAACAACTGCTTCCGCTTTTGCAGTCTTTCTTTTACCTTTAAAAACATAAATTCCTATTAATAAAAATCTTAAAGACCAGTGCTTGGAGACAGGTAAAACTACACTAAAATTTGTTTTTCCAGAGTAACAATATACAACACTGTACATACGAAAGTTCTATAACTATTGCAAGTAAAACAAAAGTAAAACAGGTAAACTACGCCACAATGGATGTAGTACAGCTTACTGTGAGGTAATTTTATTCTTCAATTCCATTTTAGGAATACTAAAATGATTTTAAATTAGTTTCAACAACTAACAAAGTAATACATATTCATTTACCTTACTCTAAAAGAACCCCAACAATTTACATAGCGTTCTTTTATAATCAATAAGAATATATCCAATATAATTTTTTAAAAAATATATGAATAGTGTAATGAAAAATAATCAGGAGAAATAAAAACAATTCTCAGGAAAGGTCACATTTCTTTGGAAACACTAATTGGAAATGACAAAGAAATGATGTTAAAATTTTTAAGACTTGCAAATATATCATTTAATGGGTCAATTCTTTGAAGTTGAACCATGTCAAATATCTTTATACACATACAAAAAAAAATGTGAGTTGAGGACCTGAAGTTTTCACATATTACACAGTTTTAGCATCTGACAGACAGATTCACTGAGCATTTTCACTTTTTGAGAAGGAGCCTTTATTATAAATATTTTATTGATTCTACCAGTTGAAATGTAAAAATAAAAAGACTTAATATAAATATGTGAAAATAAAAAGTATTAATGTAATTATGAGGTATGTATCCACATTTTTTCTTGGGACATTAAAAGGTTGTTTTAAAAACCTTCAATAGAATCTTAACAATTAGAAAAGCCAGTGTAGCAGTAGCAAAAATAAACAAATCAAAAAAATCAAATGCATACCAGACAGCAACAGCAAATAAAAACAATTGTGGTTTTTCGATCTTCACTATATTTATTTTCTCTCCACGGAACGTCATTACCTTCGCTTTTGCTAAAGGCCATTCCTTGCTCGTCATACTGCACAGGCTCAATCAGCTGTTTTTTTGATTGAATAGTTACACTTCTGCGAAACCTCTGCACAAATTCTTCTTCAGCAGCACCATGTTGCAATGTCAATAACCTTTCTAGCAGCCGTATGGACTGCATATACTACAGACAATAAAAATTCATTAGAAGATGCAAGTGTAATTGCATTTGCTAAATTTCTTCTATTTTTACACACTTGATCTTTCCAATGTTGCTGTTCTTGATGAATTTTGACAGGATGACACTTTTGCATCTTCATGCTGCTTTTAAAACAGCATGCAGACACATCCTTTTTCCTGTGTATCTTTAGTGCTAAATCTTTTCTTTTGAGATACAAAGAGATTTATCATTTAAAAAAATCAATTTCTTTGTATTATGATTATGAAATTGAGATTTAAATTCATTTTCAAAAAGTATTTAGAGATCTTCAAGTGTAATTTCCACTCTTTTATTAGAACTGTATCAAGAGGAGATTTATAAATACTTTCTACTTAAGTTATGGATAGTAAAATGGAAAGAGTTTAATGTTGAGAAAATGTACCTCTTAAATTATATTTCATAATACATTTGGCAAACATATCTTTGGTTGTTCAAGCTGTGTTACTTTAATGTTTATGATTTCCTTTAAAACCGAACAATCAAGCTATTTAAAAATTCAAGAGATACTTGACTTAAAGGGCAACCTCTTGAAATAAATTATCCTTGCTACTCTGTGCATTTTTTTTAATAGTTCTTGAACATGTGATTAGAAAGTAAACAACTTGGTATTAACCCCTTAAAATTAGAAGCCAGAATAATCATTCTAAAGTGTTTATGGAGAAGGAAACAACTAACACTTGAGATCCTCAGTTAATATGGACTGTGAAACCCAGTTTTTTTGATAACCTTACTTTTGTTTTTTGCAACACTAAAAATCATACTCATCCTTCGTCACCATGGCCTTCACAGTGAAAATCTGCCATTAATAGTTATGAAATATTTAAAAACTTCACCAGTAAGATTAATATGAAAAGAACTGCTTCGAATACAGTTTCCTGCAATGTAATGATGAAAGAGAAGGCAATTTTCTAGGTAAGGGCTCGATGCTCCCCTTCAGTCACAAGCCTATGTCCTCTGTTCTCAGCTACTCTCTCAATTCCATCTCACACACTCTCGATGACTACTGTTGAACCTACAAAGGGGCACTACAGGGAGGACACAGCCTTGCTCAAAAACTGGGTTCAGTGTTTAAGAAGTCAATGACCACGCCCACCTCCCTCCTTGATACCAGTCATAAACGTCAGGATTTCTTCTGATAGCCAGTACCCCCAAAGTATAGATGATTATTATATACAGTATGTTTGTTTTGTTTTCATAGCTGCCTGCCCATATTAAAGTCCTTGGAATATTTCCAAAGTGGGAAAAAAATACCTGAGTTATAAAAATCAAAGCAGCCAGAAAACAGAGGAAACAACGAATTGATGTGTTCAATGAAGAAGCAAAGAGACTTTTCAGTTAGGTTCAGGTGTAGCAATACTTGCAATTAGGATGTTAGAAATTAACTCTGGATCTATCGCTAACCAAATGCCTGACATCTTATTTAAGCAAATTGCAACTTCTGTAAATCATTAATTTCTCCAGTACGTTAAATGAGAAAAAGAACAATTGAAGCACATGACTTAAAATCTATGTGGTGGCAAGGTACTAACGATGTTAGCCATTGCTGACGAAGGAAAAAATCCGTCATGAAACAATTTGTAAAATGTAGCTACACTCAAATCTTGCTGGAAGTAATTTAAACTTAAAACATCAAACTTCCTCTGATGATGCTGGGATATGTTAGAACATTTAACAAAATAAGAATGCAATTAAGACCTAAAGCAGCAGTCACAAACTTGATAGGATATAAGATTCGCCTGGGGAGTTTGTTAAAAGGATGGATTCCTGGGTGACCCCCTAGAGATTCTGCACCAGGTCTTGGAGGAATGATGCTGGGATATGTTAGAACATTTAACAAAATAAGAATGCAATTAAGACCTAAAGCAGCGGTCAGAAACTTGATAGGATATAAGATTCGCCTGGGGAGTTTGTTAAAAGGATGGATTCCTGGGTGACCCCCTAGAGATTCTGCACCAGGTCTTGGAGGTGGCTTAGTTAGGATACTGCAGTTTGTAACCAGCATTCCAAGTGATTCTGATATAGGCCATTTGCAGATCCCAAGATGAAAACGACTGACCTTACAGGTAGGGCACACAAGGTAAGCCAGGAAGCAGCAAGTTGCATGAAGGTAACATGGTAACATGTGCTGCCTCCCTTTCTACTTAACCTGTAATGGCTCCTTACACTTATCATTAGCTTGTAGAATTATCCATTGGTCTTATTGAAGGAGATGGAAAATGACATCTCCTGTGCTTCCCTAAACAACTGGCAAAGGACATGAGGGCACTTATAAAAGGAGAATCTGGAGACTCAACATGTCACCTTCCTGACCACAGATAAGGCCCTCTCATGGCAGATATCAATTGATGAATATGTTAAAAAAAAAAAGGTCTTAGGGAACAGCTGCCTTTGAGGAACATCACTATTAGGATCCTAAATACAGCAATTGTCTGTATTCTCATGGTACAGGTCCCCTTAAATTAAAAAGATTAATTACTCACATCTTGATCTGACAATTTTTCCACTAACATTTCTTCTAGTTCCTCCTTAATCAGCCATCTGCTGCCAATCAGGTCTCTGTTAAAATATCACACACATATTCTCTTTTTGATTAACCATGCAATTAGAGTTATATCACAAAAGATCCTACATATAGTAGCAATTCACGATTTGAAAACAAAGTTTTATATTATATAGCAGTAATTTCATCCAAGTGAACTATTTTTTTTTTCCCCTTTTTGTCTTTTTTTTTACTGACCGGCAACAGGATCGCAACCCTCGGTGTTGCGCCTGCACCATGCCTAGCCAGTGAGCGGGAACCGGTCTCCACATGGGATCCGAACCCTCAGCGGGAGCGCCGCCGCACTCCCAAGCAGCGCACTCTCCAGTGCGCCACTGGGCCGGCCCCAAGTGAACTATTTTTAAGAAATATTATTCCATTTCCTCAATTTACTTTAGAAAATAGATCTCCTCCAGCAAATGTTTTGTTTGAAGAGTTAAATATGCCACTGTGGAATGACAGGATATTAAAAGCCACCAGATTTTTAAATATTAAAATTGTGCCTGTAAAATTTACTTCAAAAAAGATGTTATGGACACAAAATTGACCTGTCAATGGACTAAAGTAGTTCAAATAAAGGGCTAGGAGTGCATTCACAACTTAAACAGGGTGTGGTCAAAGACCTGTGTCTTCTGCACAAGAACATATGTGAATAGGTAGGCCAAAATTTAAACTGGCTACTCAGGTTGATGAATCTTATCTATCACTATTTGCCAAATGGAAGCAAAAACCTTGAAATACCAAAAAATATTAAAGCATTCAAATGCTAAATCAATGTGCAGCTATATATATAAAAATTCTGAGGACACCATATCCAAATATAGTAACTAAATGCCATTTAATACATAAATCCAGGATGAAGTAACACAAAAATAACCTCAATATTTGCTTCTTTCTAAACAAAAATCACATATTATTTTGGATCCTAACTTTGATTAATGCTAAAATACTGAATGAATTTTAGGCTTCAGATATGTCTAAAAAATACCAATAATTAGCATTTTTTTAGTTCAAATTTTACAAATATTTTAATGGAAGAAAAGAACTTACCTGGTTTCATTTTTTTCTGGAAGTAGACCTTTGGCTCGCAACTGATTTTGATGTTTTTCTACATCTAGTACCTTTCCATATAATTCCTATGGCAAATAAAATATATATAATAGAATAAGAGAGAGGGTACATTATTACTTATGATATATTTCATGTTTTTTTTCCCTGTGAATACTCCTTATTTTTAACATGACCTCTTCAATGAATCTAGCTGCAGAGTAAATAAAACTGAAAATGCTTTTCAATAGTACTATTTCTCATTCAATCTAAAGGATGATAATTTCAATGAGAATTTAGTATCATACATCACAGCACACTTTAATTGATTTTAAAATAACTATAAAAATTTTACAACTCCACTTCAGTGAGGCTGGTTAAAAAACAGACAAAAACTATAAAGTATTTTCCTTTCAGTTTCACAACAGGATAAAAAAATTTCCTTAAGAAAAACCATAATTTATACAACAATATGCGCTTTAAATGTAGAGAATACCCAGTAAAATTTATGGTATTTACAACTGAACTACTTATTTAACATTTAATATTTTCATAATATTTAAGTCTTCACCATGTAGTTTGTACCTTGAAAAAGAGTTTTCTATTACATTTATTTTTCATTATTTGATTTCTTTCTGTTAATTTACTTTCTAACAAAGTCTGAGAATGTGTGTCACTTGTTAAATTGCAGTGGAAATAGGAGAAATGCCATTTGCCACTTTGTTAGAACTTGTAAAAAGCAATAATCCAGTAATAAGGATCATCAATGAAATACATTTTCCAGGCAGTGAGTTTACAACAAGCAGAATAATGCAATGGTCTCCCAATATTTTTGATTGAGCAAACTCCATTTTTTAAGGACTCACACCCAATAGTGAGTCCTTATGAATAGTCCTTATGAATGAATAGTTTGTACTTATTCACTTATTATTCACACATAACCTACCATACTAATGCCTCATAAACAGGTAGACATTTTAAAAGGCTAAACTAGAGAGGATATAAATGACTTAATTTTTTTTTTCCTTTTTTTTTTTTTTTGTCTTTTTTTTTTTACTGACCGGTAACGGGATCACAACCCTCGGTGTTGTGCCCGTACCGGGGACTGGCAACGGGATCGCAACCCTTGGTGTTGCGCCCACACCGCGCTCAGCCAGTGAGCGGGAGTGGGAACTGGTCTCCACATGGGATCCGAACCCTCGGCAGGAGCACCGCTGCGCTCCCAAGTGGCGCACTCTCCAGTGCGCCATGGGGCCGGCCCAAAATGACTTAATTTTTTTTGCTAATCATAATAGCTTCCAATATCATTAGCTAATGTCAGAAGACACACCCTGTTACTGATACAGGTATTGGTCCATATCTCAAAAAGTCTTAATAATTTCAAGTTTCTTTTGCGGGGGAGGGGGGACAGCTTCTTGTGGGCTTTGATAGACTGCTGTATTATATGATAGTGTAACTGATAAAGTTTGTTCTATGAGCAAGAGAAATGTCCCTCTGCCACTGTTGCTGCATTTACTACTGCTTGAGTTTTAGCACCATGTTCATTAATGCAGCCTCTTTTCACTGGTCCATTTCTCTCATGGGCAAAAAGAATGCTAAAAAATAGAAAAAGGAATGTAAGGACTGAGTCCTTGAGTATATGTAACATAAATATAGGTGAGAAAAGTTGAGATTATACTCAATGGGTAGGACCTCTCAGTGAATAAGGATGTAAAAGTTCATTTCTTTTGGCTGGAGAGACTCATAAGAATGTTTTTCGCTTTGTTTTTCACCAGGGTAGTAGAATTGAGAGTTTAGAAGAGAAAAGGAAAAGAAGCAGAGAAAGAAAAGAAAAGTAGCACTTAGAAGCTACAACACTGCCAGTCAGCTAGACTCTAACAGTGGGTATGAGAATCTTAAACTACAAGTGAATCCATCACTCTGGTTCAGTAGCTCTAAAGGTTACTTTAATCCCAGACCAGCAGCAGCAGCTAAGCCCAGAACTGGCCAGAAATGTAAATTTTCAGGCCTCACTCCAGACTTGCTGAAGAGGAACCTCTAGGATGGGGCCCAGTGATTTTTTTCTAAAGATGACTCTCAGTGATGCGCACTGAAGTTTGAGAACTGTGTAGAGTCTAGTTCAATACAAGAGCAAAGGGACAAGTGAAGTTAATTCAATCCTAGTGTCGTAGTTAACTGTAACTGTCCCTACAACTACATCCCAAGTACAAATCCATCCCCTGCAGCAGCAGAGGAATGTATCCATCAACTTAAAACAAAGAACTGTCCCTCCTAAAGAAAGCAAGAACTAACATGAACCATCCACATTTAGGACACTGTATGTGCCCGTTATTCAACTTAAAGTAAGATTCTAAAATGTATCTCCTAAGAATTGGTAAGCCTCATTGACTGTTTGCGGCTGGGGTACTTTTAACTCATTTTTTAAAGGCTAGAACACTGGGTTGGGACTCCAACTGAATAGTATATCAGAAATTTTCTATGCACCTTTGTTCCTAGAAAGCCCTTCTCAAATACTCTGAACGGGTAAAACAAAGAAATCCCCCACCACCCCACCCCATGAATCCTCCCCACTTGTACGAAGAGGACAGACACATGTAAACAGCATGTCACCATGCACCTGGCATGGCCTGTCACAGGCCAGACTGCAGCCAGACTACTACATCTGGTGAAGGGATGGCAGCAAGCCTCTCAGCTGCCTGGTCCGGTCCTGAGATTTGGAGAGTGCAAAAGTCAGAAATGGTAAATCTTTCAAATCTAGCTAAGAATATATGAACTTAAGAGAACATCAACAATAGTAATAAGATACCCTCCTCTGCCTGTGAGAGTTTACTTAATTTTCTGCAATAACAAGGACACTAGAATAATAATAATTGACCTGCCTCAGAGGTTAAGTTTCGAGTCGAAGTTTGTGTTGCTAAATTAACCACCATTTTTCAGTGCCTTTTGAGCAATTTTTACTTTAACTCCATATTTTTCTTAAAATATTTTTTCACTATGCCATTGCCTTCTAGTGTTATATTTAGATCCATAATAATTTATAAATGGTGCAAGTAAAATAATCAGAAAAAAATATGAAAGATGATAAAGCAACCCATGAAAATACATGTCAAATTTTAAACATGGTAAATTCTATTCATTTAAGCCAAATGCTTAAAATTTAATGGTTATAGGGCCGGCCCGGTGGCGCACTGCTACAGTGCGCCGCTTGGGAGTGCGGCGGCGCTCCCGCCGAGGGTTCGGATCCCACATACAGACCCGCTCACTGGCTGAGCGAGGTGCGGGCGCGACACCGAGGGTTGCGATCCCGTTGCCGGTCCTGGTCCGGTA